CTCTTATATCCAGATTTTAAAGATGTTTAATCTCAAATGTTTAACTTCCAGACAATTATCCTTACATACATACCTGGAGGCTGTGTTGTACTCAAGTGATAATCTAAACTCTGTTGATTTGTCCCAGAGACGTCATGGGGAGTGTCGGTCGGAGGCGTCAGGTAATACGGTGTTTGATAAGGTGCAACTCTATAGTTGTGAATGAGGTCAGAGGCATGAGTTCAACCTGTGTGAGCTGTTAACACTGTCACACGCCGTCTCTGAGCATTTCTCCTGTCAACTACACATGTCAGCAACATGCATTCTTGTTTGTATTCAACACGAAAAATCGGTTATTATTATAGACATGTTAATATTAATTTACTTACTGACTGCAGTTTTATCAGTAATAGCAGAGACTTCATATCTGGATGGGGGGAAGAGATGAAATGTTACTCGAAGCATCTTCTAGCTTTGCCATCTACTTCACTCAACATCTCATCAACCTCTAACAATTCGTGGTCACTCATCTCCTGTCAGCATGATGTATGCACAGAATGTTGGACAAAAGACAGACGCTACAGTAGACCCATAACTCCCAGTTGGTTGGGTGGGAAGATATCAAAGCAACTTCACGGGGAAAATATAAACTTGTTAAAGAGAAATAACTTCAAGTAAGTACATGACAAGCCTTTCGATGGCTGATTGTCAGGGGAGTGGGGGCAAAGCGCGGTGTCCCTGATTTCTTTTTAGTGCAGGGCAGAGACTCACATATAGCACCAGAACATTGCCCTGAATGATTTCCTCAGCACTTCCTGGGAATTGTCATCACCCCAGGTCAATGTCTAAACTTTCTCATGCATCAAAATATATTGTAATTGACTCCATTTGTAATTCCTCCAGAGATCTGGCACTGGGCTGCAGCTCTGAAGGCTGCCGAAAGCAATAAAGTCTCTCAGACATGACCCCCATGGTAAACAAGGCCTCCTAATAGAGCGGGAGATACAGTAAAGTGTGTGTTTTTGTTTTTTTCCTGTCTGCCTGTATGTTTGCTCTTTGTCTTCAGCTCATGCTTCCATTCAACTGTTGTAATTTCACAATGATGTATTTCATATGTCAGGTTTTATTATTTATTTTGGCTCATGTGATGCTACCGCATTATGAATGTTGCAAGCAGTTATAAGATATTGAATGACAGGGTTAGGGTTAAGATATATTGATGAAGAACATTACATTAAGATGAATATTAATAAATATATATATATATATGTTCTTCATCAATATATCATATTAAATCATCGTATTAGAAAGCAATCTTAATTACACATTGATTTAATGAAAAGTCTCTAGTGTGTGGTCATTGCTGCTGGGCATTTGCAGATTAAACATAACACATTTTAACCTTGTGGTTTAGATCTACAGTGAGCCATCAGTCCTAATCAGAAATCAAATCCGTCAGTAGGATAACAGTTCTGTAATGTGCAGGGTTTTAAGGAAAGTGCAAATTAAAAGGGGAAATGGAGCAAAAGTAAAAAGGATTTACCCTTTTTATGTGGAAGCAATTAGTGCAACATTAATGGGAAACTGCGATTGTGCATAGCATGGAATTGTGTTACTCGAATTAGATTCTTTGCATTGTCTACCAACAACATTGTTCATCATTCTTCTACACGTGTGTCATTATTCATGAGGCCAACATATAGAGTATTTCCTAATTTACAAATAGATAAGTAACTTCATTTCTTTTTTTCCACTACGCTGGACAGAATGAGCTGTTTTAATGACTGCAACATACTGTTTAATACAGTGCCACGAGGTCTCCTACGTCTCCTTTGTTTTATGCTGTCCATAAATTCCCTCATTTCCCACTTACGCCAGCCCGCTGTTTTTAACATCGCATGATCCGAGGTAATCAGGCGGATCAATGTGACTGCTTTGTCACAACAACAATATCACTTTCACTCCTGCAACTGGAGCTGCTTTGATTTCTGCTGAAAGGGGAACACATAGAGTTGTGTTTATCCTTTTGTCTCTTTCTTCTGATGTACTCTACTCTGCCTCCCACTTCATCTCCTATTCACTCTCAGGTGCCACCAATAGCTGAATGAAAAAAGACGAAAAGTGATTTCTTTGTAGGGGGGAATACATGGAACTCTTTTAAGGGGGTTGGGAGAGTCTGACATGATACTAATTGGTCCAAAAGGCTTTTGAATCAACACAGAGTGCATCATTGTCCTGGTATTGTGCTGCTGATCAATATTCAGTTTTGCCTTGATGTGATGAGTATGTCCTTTGGCCGTCGTGTGTAGAGTCCCCTCAAGGTCGTCCTCTCTTTGCTCCCCGTGCTGTATATTCAAAGAGGCTTTGAGGGGGGGGTGATGAAAAGATAACAAGCTACGGCAAGATTACTTCTTCAAAGCGCTGAAAGGTTTCAACATCTCTATAATCTCTGGAGCCTTAAAGACCTTTTACCTATAAAGTGCTGACATTATCATGGCCACACTGCAACAGCCAAGCAGACTTAATTCAACTCAAGATAAATAGTGTCCATCACAGGACAAATTGTAATGCCTTTGGTGATCAAAATGTAAATGTCTTCAGTACAATATTGTATGGCATTTCCACCATCCTGACTTGTTATACATTATTCTGGTAAAACCCTTTTCACCTTGTCATAAACACATACCAAAGCACCTAAAGCACATAAAATGTAGCACCCGATTTATTTTTTCCTGACTGACCTCTCAGGGTCCTGTCTTTATTTATACATGTCTTTTGTGTCTCTTTAACTTCCTCTTATGCTCATCTGCCTTCCTGCACACCCACAAACATGCACTCATTTGACTACGGTGATGAATGCTTTCATGAACGACCTTCTCCTTTGGATTTATGTTGCATTTGTCTTTGTTCCCATAAGTGTATAGATTATTTAAAACCTCATCTTTTATTCTACTTTGGCAGTAACACTCAAAATAAATCTTGATTTCTTTTGTAACCTTTGGTGGTATTGCAAGAGCAGGGGATGAAAGATTGGTATTATTTTCTATAAATCAATGTGAAAAATGCCCCCTTCTTCGAACGACTGAATATAAAATTGACGTATCCACATTATAGCAGTTGATTTGGTATTGTGAGCGACACAGTATTTTTCCCTGGCAGTTTACTTTGAAGGAAACGGAGCAAAGCTTAATGAATTACTCTTTGTCTCTCTTTTGTCCATGAGAACATGAATAATGCATCAATAGCAAGCATTACGGAGCTCATATCAATAACTGACGGAATCTGACCACAGAGTAGTTTCATATGCTGTCTGTTATTCACACAAGTTCACTTGCCCTTCAAATTGCTTTTGTCTTTCTTGTTCCCTTTTGTCTCCCCAATGCATCACAGCGTGTGCAGTTATTTGTTTTGCTTGACATGAACGCCAATGAAAGCACACAGGAAGTTGAGAAGAAGAATTTAAAGTTTGTCTCGCTAACTTGGAGGCTGATACTTTTGGGGTCATTGAGCGACACTGGCGGGCCTTGCAACACACGTTAGTGTTAAATGTGTTACATGTTCAAATAGTTTTGCAGGATAGCCAGCACGTTATATATATACACACACACACCAGTTAATACATCTATATGTCAGTTTTTCTCAACTGTAAGTACTTCCCATGTAAACAAATGTCAGAGTCGTTGTCCCATTAGTCCTAAAATGGCTCCACCAACGTTAACTTGTTTCTTGGCTACCTTAATCAGTGGTGCAGAGTGCAGCCAAAATATTTCCCCAAGAAATCACTTATGCCAAAAGCAACTACCAAAAGTCACCATGAATGTGACCTTCAAATGACCCACCTTCATATTAATGTAATTGTTTCGTATCTTTCATCCACCTGTCCACATACCACAAGGTGTTTTTACTGCGATCGTAACGACAGCAGCATGTGGATCTCGGAAGCGAATGCGGGCCGACCTGTGGTTTCCTCACTGTGATCCCCGGCAGTAAGCTCTGTTAGAATTGAGGAGGAGAGGCGGTGAGATTCCCTTTCACAGGATCTGTCCAGCCGGTCGGCTAGCTGTAAGGTCCATTAATGGAGGTGCCCTCACCCCTTGCTGTTATTCTATATTTTTTTCTAGACTGATCACAACCGGCAGTTTGTGTGTCTGCTTGTGTGTACTCTACAGTCGGAATGGTCTTTAGATACCGTTTGTGCTCGTGTTGAAGGTTGTTTCAGTGTGCCTCGGGGTGCCTGTGATCCACAATCGTGTCAGTCAATCTTATCGTCAAAAAAAGACGGTGAGAAAAAAAAGGACATTCAGGCTATAGAATTGATGTGAAGCTAGACGTGGTTGACCCGTATGTCATTGATGCCATATATCTTGACAGCTTGTCCATTACCCAAATCCTCACTCCCTCAGCACTTCCATTACAGTCTAGTGGATGGGCCGACCTTGCAGACGCGTGGGCAGTGAAGGTTAAATCACATATGTTGATGATGAGCGCTGTGTTTATCGGGCCTTATTTTGGTTATCAATCAGTGTCTAAAGTAAATCACGATGGCCAGCTGTGCAATAGGATGGACCACATTATAGACATACGCCTCCTGCATTTAACCTCTAATTAAATGTTTTCTTTTTTTTTTCTTTTCCAGGCTGATTTTTAAAGACCTATATACAGTATGAGGTTGTTCAATAGGACTAAAACTAACACGGTTCTGCCTTCATGCTCTTGTCCCGTCTGATCCCCTAAGACACTGCCTACTGTTTGAAGTCTGGACTTGAAAGGCCTCATCTAAATACTGTGGATTCCACAGCAACTCTGCAAGCAGTGATTACAGACTGATTAATGAGCCGCACACAAACTGTACACACACGTTTACACACGGCCGCTTTCTAGGCCACACACAAATGGATTAGGCAGGAGTCAGTATGTCAAAACGTACCGTCCAACTCGGTCGTGGGTAGTTTTACTATGTGGACTCTTAACAAATCTTAATCGTGGTCAATTTATTAATTTCTTCCCTTTTTTCCCCACAGTGTCGGCTGACATCTTAAATAGCAGTTTGGCCACCATGGAACGTCACATCCAGAGGCTTGAGAACGACATCCAGAACTTCCCCAAAACCGACGACCAACAAGATAAGTTTGTGGAAAAGATGATGATATCCTTTTTCTTTTTAATGGTGGTCAATTACACGCTTTGTTCCAAAAAAAAAAAGCGTTTGTGTTCAGGCAGATGAAGGTATCGTATGTGCATTTCGTGGGACAGCAGGGGCAAACAAGTGTGCTGTTCTGCCCGGCAGTGGTAAGCAGTTTAAGTCACTTGGTTTGATGGGTGGCACCCAAGGGAACGAAGGGAATGGATCCGGCTGCCTAGCTACGAGATGTTGATCGGATCTCCCCCTTCACTCCTCCCTCGCGTCCCAAGAGTGAAATCCTGCCCGTGGCTATTTTTACCGCACTCTGCCACCACTGCCTGTCCCCTGGGACACTCTAATAGGGACTCTAGCCCCTCACACCAACTTATCGCCTATCCGTGATTTCATCTCCTGACCGGCCACGAGTGTCTCCACACAACCATCTGTGCATCTCTCACGGCGCCTCTCCTCTTTCGATAACAAAGTGTTTCACTTAAAGCCAAGCGTCTCTGCTCCCAAATTGAATTAGCCATGTCTCTGCACTTTCTTGAATGCCCTTTTCTGAGAGGGAAGGTCCTCATTGTATAGGTGTGATCAATGTCTGAAAATCAAGTTTGTTGTCAATACCCTGAGGCGAGGGTGTCTTTCATGGGGAGGAAAAAAAAAAAGCAGTCAGCAGTGTCTTCTTGGCTTGTCTCTAGCAAGGGAAGACAGAATTACTCGAGTAATTTAAGAAGTGGGTAAGTGTATCCATATGCCCGGCGCCCTCGTGTAATATAGAATTTAACCTGATTTTTGCTTCCTTTTATCTGAGATTTATTAAGGCTGAGTTTGCACATTGGGTAGTTTTAAGAGTAATAGCCTCCTAGCACATTAACAATCGGCTCACAATCAAAGAAGGGCACTTACATTTTTGTGTGATTAAAAAAAAAAAAAAAAAACTGAAGCAAAGACCTCCCTGGCGGCGACTCGGAGGCAGAGCAGGCAGGAAAGCCTGCCCGCGCCCCAATGTCAGTATTGATTCCCGGGGTCCTCCGAGAACCAGAGGCTTGAGTGAGAGGAAATGGAGAAGTGAAGATATACTGCAGCATTCCTCTCCTTCACTGTCTGGAGTTCCTCCCCGGAGAATGGCAGAGAGAGGCTGGCTCGGGCTGACCTGGAACTTCCCCTTTCGCCGCTTCCCACCTGATCGAGTTTTGGCTCTAGGAAGGATCCCTAATAAGATTTAATGAGATCTATTTCGGTTACTGCCTTATTTAAAGTAACCGCCAAAAGGAAAGCACTGACGAACGTATATATATATATATATATATATATATATGTGTATGTATGTATATATTAAATTTTCAATCTGCTCTTTGTTCCCTTTGGAGTGTCTTGATTTTTCAACTGGCTGAATTGCTTCAGTTGTACATATTTTTAAATCATACTTTTCACTGGTGTAACTTCTGGAATGCAGACACATCGAAGCACTAGGAAGGATTCAAACAAATAAAGAGTTTTTCTCGGTTCCTTTTCTTGATATTCACACTACAGTGTGTGATGTCATTACACTAGAACTCTGCAATGTCATTTTCCGTAGTGCCTTTGGTTCGTTTGTTACACCAGGATGTTTGCGTTCATATATATATATATATATATATATATATATATATATATATATATATATATATATATATATATACACACACACACACACACAACGGTGTGTCTCACCTTAAGCCATTTTTCTGAAGTCTGTCACCAAGGACAATATTTTCTACTGTCTTAAACCTTCCAAGACATTTATTCCCGGGCTGTCTCCATGCAGGAGAAAGAAAGCCCTGACTGTGCTTCCTTTACTGAGTTTTTTAGTACTGGTTGTGTTTGCAATGAGCTTAGGTAGCACTCTAATCTGTGTTGCACAGCAAAGTGTTGGAACAATGTCAGTGTGAAATACAGTGCGGTATATTCCTGGTTGGAATTCCCTTTGGTACACATATGATAGCAGTCAAGGTAATCATACCTCTTTAAACTTTTCCTCTGGATTAAAAAAAAGGATATTGGTTTCTTGAAGCGTGACAGATGGAAGAACAACAACAGCTAAAAGTCATGCATTTGACGCTTGAGCAACCCTGGAAAGTTAAGTGAAGCACTGTTGTCTCGACTGCTGGGCACTGTGATGAATGAGTCAGTCAGGGTGTGTGTGTGTGTGTGTGTGTGTTAGAGAATAAGAGTAATTTACAATGTATGTGTAGGTGAGTACATGTGTCTCTATTTCACTGTGACACGTGAGAGCGTTTTTCTTGAGATTAATTTCAGTAGGCCATGGTCACTGCAGGGTATGTTAAATGTAATATGTGCCCCAAAGCAGCATAGTTTTAATTAAACCCTCAACAATAAATGTTGTTTTGTTTTTTTCCCACCACGTATGATTAGTGTTCCTAATTTGTTGGGTTAGTTTTTTGTTGTTGTTCAGGTTTTGCCCATTAAAGTCTGATTTATGTCTGGCACAATCAATTTGTGAGAATACGTCATCTTTAGCATTTCAGATGAAATCATTCCACACAATAATAGTAAAATAACTGTACAGCAGCAGAAGCTCAGTACCAGTTATGAAATACTAAAATATAGAAGAGAATATGAGAAGAGAAAATACATAAAGAAAGAAATATGGAATGAACGGTAGAAAGCAGTGAAGAGCTTAGTGGAAGTACTTCATTTGGCTTTATTGATACATTTTTCTCTTTCCATTACTGTAATTTATGCAAATGACTGAATGGCGTGTTTGTTCAGCAGTTTAGTGATCTCTATCTGTCAGAAGTAATGGGAACCCACAAAGGCTGTAGAGTTGAGGCACAAGCCCCCAGAGAGCCCTATTTCACCATGAGGCTATGGCTATCACACACACTCACTCTCTCACACACCCACATTTACAGTTCCTGCTGAATATGACAGAGTAGAGCCGGGGGCTTTGAGCAGGACTCTGCATACTGGAATATTAATGTTGGACAGGTGGCTCGATGGGGATGATGAGAGACCGGACTGAACCTTGGGTGCCTGGACATGTCCAATACATCTCCCTCTTATGTACTCAATGCCTTAACCCAACCCGCTGATATTTAGCCTAACCTTTTATTTCCCAGAAGGCCAGAGTCAGAGCCCATTATTCTCCCCAACTACCACACATTGAATGACGAGGAGCTATGCTCTGGGGCCGGCTTCATTAAGATATATTAGAATGGGCTTACACATTTAGCCAGTCTTCATTTTGTTTTTTGGGACACTCTAATGTGGAGAGTGACAATCAGGAAACAGAATTGGAAATTGTGTGATTTCTTGGCTTGTTTGTTGTATCATGAACGTTTTCATTGAGAGGTTTTCTTTCATTAATTCATTTTTATAAACACATTTTATACTACCGTTTTTTTTCTTTTTTTCTCAGAAATAATTAGTTGTTTTCCCCTGTGCTTGTGTATGTAAGTATGGTTACACAGTCATTTAGCCCTCTCAGTAAAATGGCTATGTATAGGATCCAACATCTACAAAGACAAATGAATGGGGCTGAGTTGCTTGAAGCCATCGCTCATGGCCTTAATTCGCTCAGAATTTCATTCAACCTCCCTAAAATAGTCAAAGACTGGGCGGCATTGTCCATCGGATGAGGAGAGATATTTGATAGCTATATAGCTGACGTTTATTTGTTCAATCCAAGTCACAATCAAAGTCTGTCTTTGGGGAGACCAACTTCTTAACGAATATCATATCGACCTCCTTCTTGAAAATGTCCTGCTGTCTTAAAGAAGTCGCTGTTCAAGCAGCAATACAGATTTACAGTACTTACCTGTCGATCAAGATCAATAAGGAGCCTCAAGTTACGTGACCCTACAAAGCTCACCCTTCCACCAGTGCCAGGTGCGCACACCAACCTTTTATCTGCCCATAAAGTGTCAGGCCAGTCTAGTGTTAATTTTGGCAGCTATTTTTAATTTAGTCTTAGTCTTTAGACGAAAAATGCATATTAGTTTTAGTCACATTTAGTCATTTTAATCCTTCTTAGTTTTAGTCTAGTTTTCGTCGACGAAAACTCAGAACATTTTAGTCTAGTTTTTGTCGACGAAAACTAGACTAAAATGTAATTAGTTTTAGTTACATTTAATAGCCATATTAAACTCCTTTTCTTCCCCTCTCAGGCCCAGGGACCCCCTGTGTTGTGTCTACAACTGCATAATAGTCTAGCTTGCAGTACTTGGTTGTCCATTAGATGTCCCTCCTAGGACAGGTCTATAGCAGGGGTTGGCAAACTTTTTGACTGAAATTTGACGGAGCAGCCGGACCAAGCAACAAATGGTTGAAGTGTTTGTGTGTGAGCTGATATAAATGACATGTGAAAAATCATTACATGAAAGGATTTGGATTTTAAAAAATAGCAAAGCATTTATTTGCAAGGCAATTTAACAAATTGGCAAAGGTGTAACAACTCCATGAGGACCAGGAATCTAAACGCAACACTTTGTTGTCTTTGTCTGTTTACTTGCAATGCTTTTGACATCGGAAACTTCATGGTCCTTTATTGTTTCCACTGTCCCAACAAAAGAGACCCGTTAACGTCCTACCATCGTTGCAATACATTATTTTCTTGGCTTCAGAACCTGCAATGAGTTCATTATGTTAGACGCGTTTGTAACGGAGCGTCTCATCCAGCCGAGGAAACGCTGCCTGCCGTCGCCAGAGAACAGAGCAGAAAGGTCCGACAGTCTGTTAAACGGGTCTTCATGTTTCTGTGAAGCAGCGCGGCTTCAGCCCGCTAACAGTCAGCTAAACCGAGACAGCTGAGCTAAACTAAGGAAGCGTACATTCAAACTCGCCGAAGCGTAAAATAGTCATTGCGGTCCGTTGTCGGTGCACAAGAACCACCGCTGCACCTCTGAGCGTTCTGGGTTCGTGGATGACGTCATCATGACACGTTAATAACCGCCGTACTTTGCCTGTCTGTTATGTTAGCTGCGTCCGAATTCAGGGGGAAAAAAGTATTGTGACTTCGT